ACAAAAAACTCCCGACAATGTAAACTGTGGAAAATTGTAAGTAATCTAGCCGCTTTATTCAGCTTTTTACAGCGGATGCCATTGGAAACACGGTAAGTCTATCCCTCACAGCCTCACTTTCATACCTGTCATGGCGCTGCTCTGATGAATAAGGTCTACCTTGTGTTCTCATTCACTCACCGCAAAGTATTGTTTTACTGTTAGTAGCGTTTCTAAGCGGTTTTCTCCTTTGTTTGTGTCCTGTATTTTTGACCTGTGGATTGTAGGGGGAGCTCCCGTGGTAGCCCTGAAAGCCATCATTAGAACTTTAAATGTGATTCTGGCCACAACTGGGAGGCAGTTGGGGAGTTCATGAGGTGTGTGACATGGATTATCTTGTGACATTGGCTGAGTGAAGACTATAGTACAGCTAGTAGAGCATTGCAGTAGTCAAGTCTTTAAATTACAAGCGCTTGGACGAGTAGCTGTGCTGTGTATTCTGACAGAAAGTGTCTGATTTTGCTGATGTTGTAAAACGCAAATCTGCATGACCGGGCCATTGTTGTGATGTGAGTGGTAAAGTTCAGCTGGTCGTGAAACACTACCCCCAGGTTCATTGCTGTCCTGAGTGATGTTAGTGTAGACCACAGTTCCATAGTGATGAGGACAAGGATTACAAGAAGCTCTGTCGTTGTCCAAACGAGATACGAGTTGAGACAGTCCGTGGTAATCAGGTTTTATATAATAAAAAAGACAGAGATGTGATTCATCTGCATAGCAGTGAAGCCACGCTCCTTTATAATCATGCCCAGCGAGGTTGTGTGGATGGAAAAAAGAAGAGAAGTGAGCATTGAACCTTGAGGCACCCCGGTGATTAGCTGATGTGACTCAGAGACCTCTTGTCTCCATGAAACCGTGAAAGATCAGCTAGTGAGGTATGACTGAAGCCACTGAAGTACACCTTTAATGTTTATGCATCCCTTTTGAAGCTCCAAAACTTTAGTCCCCATTAAGTGGAAAGAGTGACCAGCACATAAATCAAAAGTTCTGTATTTGTGTTCCACAGAAGAAAGAAAGTCATACAGGTTTGGGATGACATGAGGGTGAAAAGATGATGACAGAATGTTGTTTGGGTGAACTATCTCTTTAATTGTTGTTGACAGATTAGGGATGCAGTTCTAATTAGTGGATGAATAACTTCAAAGCAAAGTTCAAAGTGATCGTTGCTTACACTCTTTATTGGATAATCCAGTTTCCCAACATCAAATAAACAACACTATACTTCAGGCCACAAAGTGTCTGATAATGCCTTCACTTTGAATATCCGCGTTATCTCTTTTTGCTATGTCACCTGACAAATAAGCTGGGTCAGCAATAGTTGGCTTTGTTTGAGTCATTACACTTGAGAAAGCCAATGCTGTTTAGTCTTGATACTTAGCATGATTAATATATTCTCTCCCAAGAATTATAACTTTACTAATCTTTGTTTTAATTTTGTTGGAGGCTCGACGGGAGCCAGAGTGCTTTATAGTTTGACAGTTCCCAACCACAAACACTTAAAGGGATAGTTCAGTTTGAAATTAATTTTTGATATGTTTAGCTTACCTCAAGAGCATCCAAGATGTAGGTCTCTTTGTTTCCACAGTATTTTCAATTTTGATATTTTTAGGTCAAACCGTTCTTGTCTGTCAGTCATATAATGCAGGTCTATGGTCACCACCTCAAAGAGCATGCACTGAAAAGTCCAAATTAAACATGATTTAATGACTCGTTAATGTAAGTACACATTGATGGCCTAAGATACGAAACGAGCGGTTTGTGAGAAAACGAACAGTATTTATATCGTTTTTACCTCTTGTAATCACAGCCACATCCAACTGATCTGAAGGCACGAGTGATTCGGTCTACGCATGAGTGATCTCTTGCGCGTCTACGTCACTCATTGTTTACACAGGGATTTCGGAAGTTTTAACTTTCACTCTGAAGATCTAATTTAGATGTTTCGAAATCGTCTTCCATTGCAATTTCCTGTATATCTAAATATGTTTAGATCTTCACAAAACTTCAGAAATCTCTGTTTAAACAATGAGTGACGTAGACGAGCAAGCGATCACTTCCGGCGCAGCACAGAGCACAGAGTTTCCTTCTATATTCTCCTGTTAAATTTTGACCAAGACATGATTCAATGCAATTCCTGTGAATTTGTTTTGGCATTGATATACTTTCTTGGATCATGTAAAGTGCATAATGGAACCAAATTTAAAATGGCTTACATCAGCCTACAATTAGCCAGCCATGTGAGCTGTGCCAACCCGATCTAATAATATCTAAAACACAAACACAGTTGACTTTGTGCAAGCTGCTACTGAGAGAGTATTTGGAATACATGAACATTTTCAAGCACTGTTTGTTTAAGAAGGGTCTGAAAACTTAAGAGGGGAAGTTTCTCTGGTCTGGTTGCATTGTTGAATCTGTCAGTGCAGGCAGAGAATTACAGAGCCCAAGAGAGACCATCATTCAGAATCCATCTCACACAGCCTCATAATGCCCGAATTAACGCAGAGCCAGAGTTACAGTGTGCTGTGCACTTCATGACCTTCAGTGCTGTGTAATCATGTAGAATCAACCACAATTCTCACTGTTTCATGTTACCGTGACCTAGTTTAGCCTCAATAAACATTTGCACATTTCATCATGCGTTATAGCTGCATTGTCTTCTGTTTTTAATTGTTCTGGTAAGTTTTAGATTCTAGGCACTTGTTAGGATTTTATACAAAATGATTATCAATACATGATGTATATTTATTTTATAATAGGCTACTGGTATGCATGTGCCTGAGTGTCATGTTTTATGGAGACTCAGCAAACACAGAACGTTCTCCTAACATTCCCGAATGGTCCCATGAGGTTGTTTTTTTGGGAACCAAACAAGAACGTTATAGGAACGTTCCATGTAGATTATTTTTAGGTTCCATTTTTATAACGTAAGGAGAACGTTCCGGGAACGTTCCCCTAACCTTAAAGGAAAGTTCTAGGAACGTTCTGGGAACCAAAAATAACGTTCCCATATTGTTCCCAGAACCTAAATTTGTTTGCTAAGCTTATCGATCACAGAAAATGTTCTGCATTTTTACATATAAAAAAACATCTTTACACACATCTTATAGTTTCCCACATCTTATAGTTTCTGCATTTTCACAATTCAATTCAATTTACTGTGTGTTTATATTTCCTTTTTTTTTTCCTTCTGAATATAAATTTGAGCAAATTTACAAACACACATTTTTAGATTCCAAATTTCTTTTTTAATTCATTGTAATTATTTTTTATAAACTGTTCTTGTCATTTTTTTTGTCTCCAATCGATCAAAACTTAAAGGAGTAGTTCACTTTAAAAAAAAAAAAAAAAACTTTTGCTGATAATTTACTCACCCCCATGTCATCCAAGATGTCCATATAATTCTTTCTTCAGTCGAAAAGAAATTAAGGATTTTGATGAAAACATTCCAGGATTTTCTCCATATGATGCACTTTACTGCAAACAGTTCAAGGTCCAAATGACCTTGAACCGTTATTAATCGTCTGGTGTCGTTTAAAGCTCTTTGAAGCTGCACTGAAACTCTCATTTGGACCTTGAACCTTTTGGTTCCCATTGAAGTCCATTATATGGAGAAAATTCTGGAATGTTTTCATCAAAAACCTTAATTTCTTTTCGACTGAAGAAAGAAAGACATGGACATCTTGGATGACATGGGGGTGAGTAAATTATCAGCAAAAGTTTTTATTTTTATTTTTTATTTTAAAGTGAAATACTCCTTTAAAATTACTTTATATCGATAATGTATCCACATTTTGAATCCACAACTGAATCCAAAACATTTTTGAATATCCTTGTGACATGATGCTTTTGACCTATAACAACAACTGTTTGTGTTTACAAGCAATAATGCTGTGAGCACATTCAACAAAAAATGGTCTCAAAAAAGACAATGATTATGTTATATATGACTTTATAATTTTCTTGAGGAGACCGGGGATGGTTGTAACACGGGTCAGTTGTAACAATTCCAATCTGCCCAATCAGGAACTAGTTACAAATCTCCCGATACACTTCACACATGCTCAGTTTAGTCCTTATTCTACATGTAATAAAGTAGCCCTGTGGCAAACACATCAGATGTTAGAGTGGAAAAAAACTATTTTGAAGTACGAAACTAACTTTTTTTACTTTGTTTATTTTTGTAATGGGACTTTCTGCTTCATAGTTAAACTCATCAAAATTAAATTACATTTATTGTGTCTGTGTAGATATTTTTCATGCAAGTTGTTAGTGCTTTGTCTGTTAGCTGAGCTAGTTCATGGCTATGACTCTAGTTGTAACAACAATGAAACGTTGCAACCTAACACCTTATTACACACATCACACTTAAATTTTATTATGGCCAATACTGTAACTGACAAATGGCCTTACACCAACACAAGTGTTCAATTTCAATGTATTATGGCCAATAGGCTACTATGACAGTAACAAACAAGCTTACACACAAACACTGTTTTGTTTTCAAGTTAAATTTATAGTGGTCAATTATGACTAAGAGTGACACACACAGACACACACACATCAGTTATATTGAAAAGTCAGTGTAGAAAAGCTTTCAAAATCCTATGGGGTGAATTGTAACATTTCACTCCTCATGTTTAGAACTAAACCATGCATGTTCTGTTTGTGTTACAAAGATAAATGCCATTTGATAGCAGACACTTGTAACTAGTTTGAATCACATTTTGAACACACTGGCTTAAAAGTAATCCAAGATATAGACAGAAAGGTAAACAAATATTACAACCATCCCCCTACTGCATAAACACTCTCTTTGTAACAATGGTGAAGTACATCACTGTTCACCCACACTGAATAGCACAGGGATGAAAAATCACAGTCACATGATAAAGGGGGCGGGGCTCTCGAAGCCACGAGCCAATAGGAGCGCACGTCAACCCGAGCTCTGTAGATCAGGGAAAAGAGCATGAATAACGGTACTCCACAATATTTACTGAAATGTTTCATCGACTCACCGATGTCGGGCATCCATGGCGCATATAATTAAACCACTAAACAGCAAATACAGGCCTTTTCGCGTGTAGATTGTTTCGAGTAACGTTACTTCAACGCTATACGAGCTATTTATTCAGTCTTAAAATGGCCTGGATCTGGAAGGTAAGTCGAGCAGCTGATTGTTTGCCTCGCTTTTATATTCAGTAATGTATGAATGCGCATTAATGTGCTGCTCAGATTACTTTATTCGCAATGTTGGTATTTTAAAATATGAAATGTGCAGAGAGAATCGGAGGGTTAATGCAAATATCTCGGTGCTTTTTTATTGAATGCAAGTGTAGAAGCTTCATGTCTTGGAACATTGTTCAAGTGCGACGACACGTGTGATCTTCCAGTTCACTGCTTAGGCTACACTTAACAACCACATTTACTTGGTATATGCAATGATGAGACTTAATGTATCCAAAAACACAGACTGTCTGATTCTGCAACCGTTGTAAGAGGCATCAAATGCAACAAAGTTTCCCCGTTACATGCGCTTCCTACATCCAGTGATGTCAGTCACGCTTTTTTTAATGTCGTCTCCTGGAGGATTTATTCTTTTCAAAAACCAACGAAGACCTTTGTGGGAGTCCACCATAATATTTGCGGCTTAGGGTTTGTTTAGTTAGGGTGAATCATTTTGTCCATTGTTATTTGAAAAAGGACCCGACGAAGCTCTGTTCGTGTTTTGTCAGTCTGATGAAGAAAAAAAATGACTTAAAAAAATAACCTTTGCTTTGTAAAAAATATTCTTTGCAAATTGTGATTGGCAATAAATAGTTTGAAGAAAGTTAGTTATTTAATAGCTACCAAACAAATGATTATATTCCTTCTAAAAAATAGAAAATAACATTAATTCAACTAAAGGCTGAAATAAACTACACAACTTTTGCCTAGAGTCTGGACACATTGATGAAACAAAACAAAAACAAACAAATAAATTTGAATTTTCAGCAGTCGAAGTTGACAGATTTTGCAGAAAAGCATGTGATTTTTTTTTTTTTAATCTTAATTCCATAGTGTGAAAACATTATTTTGAGCCGATTTTAGAACACATTTTCCTAAAATCAAATACTTTCCTACTATATAGTAAAAAACAGTACGCAAAACGATTCTGAAGTGTCCTTTCAATAGACTCCACTATCCCATGAGGCAACGGGAGATGATTTATGGTGGTGAAATGACGCAATCTGATGCTAGGTCACGTGACAGTAACAACATGGTGGATGAAGTACGGAAAGTCATTCATAATACTTTTAACAAGGGGGTAATTCATCAGCCAGAAGTTGAAGCCTCGCGGGAGCTGCCATTGTAGCAGAACTTCACTTGGTGTTAGCATCCCATTGACTCCCATTCATTTTGCTTTGACAGCGAATAACTTTACATCTGAGGCGTTCAAAGACTTCATTTGTCCATTATTTATTTCTAAAAAAACATGACAATGTATAAAAAGCTCCATTACTTTGTATCTCACGTTACAGCCCCGTAGAAGCCGTTTTTGTAAAAATAAGCTAACGATTGCGTCATAACCACGCAACTTTCTGTCGCACAATAGAGACATTCTTTTACTGTCTATGAGGCAATCGGGGGGACATGGAGGCACAAAGTCAAGGGAGAAGCCCATAGAGTCCATAAAAGCAATGGGGCAAAATATTTCAACTATGCTTTTGAGGAATTGGGTGATTCAGATTTGTCTTGGCACAGATACTAGAAGATTTACTGTCAGACTGTCGTCACGCTCAGTTTGAGCCTGCGCAGTCACTCAGACATCAGACAGGAAGTGCAATAATCGTGCTTCAGTCTTCTCCGTTGAAATCAATGGGGTCGCTGTGTCCATTTCTTTTACTGTCTATGCTTTTTATTAATGCACGTTAAGTGATTCAGATTAAAATATTGTACCAACTCAGACAGTTTGTGGGTTTGTTGTGTTGGGAACAACGTGAAAGTTTGGCAGTGTGTGATCCTCTGTTGTTTAGTGTGTGATCCCCGGTTTTTCTCTGAAGCCATTTACAAAGTCGGCAGTGATGCAGTGTTTTAAAATCTACTTAGTTTTATAAAAGTTAGCCTTAAATCCCAACATTCTCACACTTCTAATTCCCTTTTTATAACCATCAAGGAAAGACAACCTTTCATAAGTTTAATTTGTGATAACAAAACATTGCTTTGTTTGAGCATCTCAACCGGCCTGACAACAGCATCATTGACCCATGTTAGAGGCGGAGCTATCTGTGTGTCTGACCAATTGCAGATGAGAGTGGTGTTCCGGAAACTTTTTTGAAAACCATAATCGTCTTGCATTTCTTTTTGGTGACACTAGGGGTGTAGAAATCATTTTTAGGGAACCTGCTGTGTAAAATTGTAGTACATTTTTTTAAATTTTGTGATTATTCACAGTGAATGCAAAGCCTTGATTAACAGTTTGAAAGAAGCAGTGATGTGTTGCATGCAAAGGGTTGTTCGCACAGAGCAAGCATGTTCAACAAGTAACAATTTCGGTTTAAATTACAATGTTTTATGGCATTGGTGGAAGCTGAAGACGTATAATCAGGAGATTCGTGTACTGTCTGATAAAGAGCTGCTTCTGTCAGCGCTTTATCATCACCCTTAATCTATACGTCTGCATCAGACAGCATTCAGTAAACAGAGAAGAGAGACAGATTAACTATTTAAAGCTGCTCATATAAAATGTATGTTCCTGATTACAGTATGTAGATGTGAAGGTTTGGAGTTTTAAGAGCACATTGCTGTACCTCTGGACAGTTTGGACGGTTTTGTGATGGTAATATAACCTTCAAGAGCTGGTCAGAGTGCAGTGTGCCACTGAGAGCCTCTTTGTAATCGCTGAGAATCAGTTCCAGTGTTGTCCACCTCTCATGGCTCCAGTGGTCAGTTCTCCACGTCTGCAATAAAGACCTGAAGTCGTGACCATAAGGAGCAATTTCTACTTTATCTAACCAATTAATTTGTTTTGTTGGTGTAACTTTAACCTAATATATTTTGGTTGATTCAATAATAATTTGGGTAAATAATTTCAAAATCAAGAGCTCTGCATTGAAAATTGAACAAATAGAGTCTTTGCATTTACTTGGATCTGGACTTTAAAGTGGACTCAAAGGTTTTGTTTTATCAAATCAATCATTCATATTTTAAATATCAATTAATCAATCATATTTTATGTAAGCAATAAGGTACAAGAGGCTGTGCTGACGTGAAGCAGAGTGCCTGCCCCTTCAGCCGTTTCTTATACACGATACAGCACTTGCCTCGAGTACCTTATTGCTCTTATAAAACGGTTGCCACATTAAAGTAAATATTATTAATAATAAAGTAAAAAACAATGTATTAGTGCAACTTTTTTGAAGTAAAATCACTAAAAGCCTTCCTTCCGCTAGAAAAAATAGTCCCTGAGCGTGTACAGCAACAACGTTCCAATGTGTAAAATAGAGCCAAACCGATACATCGGCAGGCCGATATTATCGGCCGATATTAGGCATTTTCCAAACTATCGGTATCGGCAGTTATAATGGCCGATAAATGAATATTTCAAAAATAAAATAAAAACGGACGAAACACGCTTGAACCATGACATGAGTGTTGTGTAGTTTGTCCACCAGAGGGCACTCTACACCATTCCTGTTGGCAACACTCATTGAGTTGGTCACGATACATGCATTTCTTGAATAACAATTAAAACATCATCCCCATCAGTTCTCTTAACTCAAACACGCATGACAAAATTTGTGGCCGGCGGAAGTTTCCTTGGCCAGTTATATTGAAAATGTATGTTTTACAATTTGCAGTATGACGTAATCCATTGCTAAATTATGGTTCATCATAGACTAGCTAACCATAAAGCTAGCTAATGCCACTATCATCAGTCTGTTCTGTTGTGACAATAAAAGAAGTTTCTTTTTAAAATGCATTATCATATTATTTTGGTTAAAACTCATAAATAACTACAAATAACTAATGTTAGGGAAATCCGTTAATGTTTTGTTGCGCCTTTCTGAAATAAAAAAAAAAAAAAAAAAATATCGGCCGATATATCGGCATATCGGATTTTAAAACCAAAAAATATTTGTATCGGTATCGGCCTTCAAAATCCTTTATTGGTCGGGCTCTAGTGTAAAATGCATGAAAGCTCAAATAAAAACAACATACACAGTGTTGCGCAGCGATCAATAGAACCGTTGGGTGAAGCGGTCATAGACGTGTTTTATCATGAATAAAGCACAGCTTTTGACCAATCAGAATCAAGGATTCGAACTAACCGTTTTATAAGCAATCATATAGTTTGATGTGTTTATCAGTATTATTATTTGAAATGTATGCTCAAAGCTGGAGTCTAAAAGTTTCTACTAGACAGACCACAATGGAGCAAATGTTTTAGTTAAAGTGAGAAAATATCTCAGCTATCATGCTTGCAGAAAAGACATCTTGCATTCGGGGGAAAGGGGGGCAAGATCAGTTTCTTTCCTTTTTGTATTTGTGTTGAGATTAACGTTTTTACTGACACATTTGGTTCAGAACAACATATGGTCTCACCCACAGTGCGAAACGTTAAAAAGCTAGATATGTTTCATATCTATCTATGTCTCATGGAGCTGCTTCGCTGCAATATGCCATGAAGAGAGGATCTTGGCTCCGTTCCGCGAAGTAACTGCCTAAGAGAGAGATCAATTTCTCTACAGGTCAGTCTATCCTTTGGACTCAAACCTGGCTCTTTTCAAAAAGAGATCTCTCAACAACTTTACTTTTCCTTGGGCAAGAATATTATACTGTGAGTTATATCTTATTTAGAAACATTATGATTATGGCTTACAGCTTATTAAAACCCCAAATTTAAAATTAGAGTATGAACAGGTTTTCAAAGCTGTAAGCCAATTCTGACTTAATAACTCTCAATTCTGACTTTATATCATGCAATTCTGACTTTCCATCTCGCAATTCTGACTTTATTTCTCAATTGCGAGAAGTAAACTCGCAATCGTCAGTAAAAAAGTCAGAATTGTGAGATAAAAAGTCGCAATTACTTTTTATATTTTTCATTCTATGGCAGAAACAAGCTTCCATACTACACTAAGCTATATCATGATTTTAATTTTAGTTTTTGTTGAGAT